CTAACCACGGTTTTTATGCTTATGATTACTTCACACATGTGAGTGTTTTCTACATTTAGACTTGAATTAAAAGATTTATTGCACTTAGAGGCGCTTCTCTCCTTTTTTTTCCAATGTTCTCAATGAGGACACAGCAAAAAAAAAAAAAAAAAAAAAACTTCACAGAACTTCTCTACTGTATATAAAACAAAACAAAAAAGGGTTTTGGATAACTTTAAAGTAAGTAAAAACAGATTTATATTAAGTGGTTGTGAACCTCTGATATGAAAAATGAGCAAAGAAGATCCTTTTCTACTGTGTACTTGCTTCAACCCAAGGCACTTAGTATGATTTTTGTTGCTGCCTGTCTGTGCTGCTATCTGAACAAGTCATTTCTGACAGCCAATGCTGACTCCAAGAGATCAAGGAAGACAGGGGAGGGGAGCTCCAGCATACAGCATGTGACTCACAACCTCAACTGTGCATGTTTCCCTATGAACCTATGTGTGGAGGGTGTCCTTTCCCTCGACTCAGGTCTCAGGTTACAGTCGGCTCCCTGCTTATGTGCTCTCCAGTGTGTGATGTCATATCCCCTCCCTTTGCTTATGAGAACTTGGGGGTGCTGTGTAAAATGTGTTTTTAGGAGGCTTCAGAAGAGAACTGGCTTCAGGAAAACAGGTACAACTTATGTAGGAGGATTTGTTTAATTTTTGTGGATCACCTGAGGATAGTTTCTTTAGTTTGTATATGTATGGGTATACAACCATTTTAAGTAATCCACATTTAAAAATGTGAATGTTTGATGTGAACTTGTCAATCATTTTTTATTGTAAAGGTCTTCCCTACCAGCCAATACCACAAAATGCCTTTAAGCGTATGTGTAATCCATAAAAGACTCTTTGGTGGCCTCCTGAAACTGGTATTACTTTGTTATTAGAAGCTTAACTTTCCTGATTTCAGGGCTAAGCTCTGGCAATTGGCATCCACCTGTATAATAGGAGTGCCATTATAGATCATTCTCATTGGACAGAGGACTGGATAAAGAACAGAACCTAAAAGTCAGGAAAGTCAGTCATCTAGATCTTAGGAATTATTTTTATTTCTACATTTTAAAACAGCTGACAGGTTCACTTCATATTTTGTTGACTATAATCTGAGCAAGAACTTACAGCAGTTGTACAGTCGGTTTAACTTCAAGACATCGCTTTCACCAAAATCCATTTGTTTTCCAATTATATTAGTATACTGAGGATTCTTTGGTAAAATTGTTGGATTGTTGCTAATCTGAAAAGCAGTTTTGCTGTAATGCATTAAAGAGGTGTAATCATAGGGAATATTTAGAAAGCTTGATATTTTATCATCATAGGCTTCAAAATTATGGTCTTTGCCTAAAAATGAAAAATAATGTTTAGTTTTATTTGTACAAAAATGTTTGATAGGTAAGAAGCAATTATAATTAAATATAATACATTTTTATATATGTGTGTAGCTCTCACTCCCATAGGAGCAGCTGGTATATTGCCCAGCTTCTTTTCCAAGTAGTGCAGAGGCAGCAGGGCACACAGAAACAGTCACTCTAATTGGCTCAATTAGCAATCCAGTGGTATAATTTTTTGGGTGGGAGGGAGGTAACATGGATAAGGAGAGGGAATTGTATGGGATCCTACAAAACTATGTACAAACCGGAGGACACTCTTCACAGCTGAATTTCGGAAACATACAGTATATCTTCTGCCAGACTCAGAACAAAATCAGCTCTGAAAGATTTAAAAAGAGGACAGTTCTCCTATAATGACACTGAAAAGCGCTGAATGTATGAATCTCTCATAACCAGTCTGGCTCCAGAGCAATTTTTATTATTTCTAGCATTCATGTAAAGATCTGAATTTTGGGCAATAAAATTACTTAAAACCCCAGAAAGTTATATATTTTTGAAAGCAGAGGCCCTGTATAAATAAAAAAGGTGATAGTAGCAAACTTCAATGTCACATGATATTTGTGTACCTGTTTATTAAATGTCAATTTTCAGAAAAAATATATAACAAAATGAATTTTAGTGAAAAAACACACAATAGAATACTCATTTTGGGTTAAAATATAAAAGATGAGGTTGCATCGAGTAAATAGATACCAAACGATCCATGTCTTAAATGTGTGTGCGCCTGCAATTTTGGCAAAAACTACGGCACCAAAAAATCACCATAGGTGACACTTTTTAAAGCCTTTACAACTCATCAGTTTAGAGTTATATAGGAGCTCTTGTGCTAGAATTATTGTTCTCGCTCTGATGTTCGCAGCTATATGTCACACATGTGGTGTGACTGCAGTTTACATACATTTGCACACCCTGGGCTTGTGTTTGCATTGGCAGGGCAATTGGGGTTACGGCAATTTAAAAAAAAAAATTTATATATTTTATTATAAGTTTATTATTGTAAAACCATTTTTTTTTCATTTATTTTTACTTGATTGCTATCACAAGGGGCTAATAAATCCCTATGTGATAACATTGGGTAGGTGACAGGTACTCTTCATGGAGACATTGGGGGTATAATAGATCCCAATGTTTCCCCTGTCCTTCTCACCATCTAACATACCACAGATCGGCTTGGTTAGATGTATCTCCTGGCTGTACTGAACAGGAAAGGGTGCATCTGAAACTGGAAGTGACATCACTTCCCTTTTCAGTGTTTGCATGTGAGATCGGGGCATGGATTTGCCTTGGTCTAAGCGCTCATCCTCCCCTAGCTGGCAGCTGTGTTCCAGGGCTCTGGTAAGAGCAGGAGATCCCGGGAACCATGAGAGGAGGGTGGCCGCCGGCAGGAGAAGGGGGACACCGCGCTGCTTCTTGATAGTTATCTGCAGCTATGGAGCTGCCAGATCACTTTCACTTTCAGCTGGGAGTCAGCTGAACAAAAAGCACATAAGTGGATGGCTGCTACTACAGCCTTCAGCTTGTGATTAAAGATTCACTCTTTGGACATACATAGTATGTCCAAAGAGCTGAACTGGATAAAGGAAACTACTTAGCCCAGGCTTAGCAAACAGTCTTTTACAAACTAGAGGGGACTGGTTGGTATGTACCTCTAAGGAGAGGAACTACAGATCCCAGCAATCCCAATAGTGCACAGTCCCAAGAGCTGGAGCCCAAACAGTTAAGCCAGGGATGATAATCTATGAGAGCAGTCTCCACTTAGAACAACTACTGGCTTCTGCACTAAGGAACAGTTCTTTCCTAACAGTCACAAGGTCCCCAGATCAGATCAGTACTCACAAATGTCCATTAGGTAACTGGAGGCCTTCTTCCATTACCTCAGACATATTACAGTGAGGGAGAGGTTAACCAGACTCATAACACTCTCCAGAACTCCTCTGGATGATTGAACAGAGATCCAAGTAATTCCAAAGTAGGACTGACATATAGGCCTCCCCAGCTAGCCCTTGCTGGGACCTTCATGAACAGTGGCTTGAAGTGAGGGATGGCGACCCTTCACCTGAACAGAAGGACTCCCTTGCAGGAAGACATTGGCCCCCAGACTATTTATACACTTTCTCAGCCACCATCTGTAGTGTCTCCTACAGGGATTGGCTGAGACAGTCTAAATATTCATGCTGCCCATTTTCCTTGCTCTACACCACAGGTGTCAAACTGGTGGTCCTCCAGCTGTTTCCAAACTACAAGTCACATGAGGCATTGCAAGTTTGTAGTTGTACTTTTGCAACAGCTGGAGGGCGCCAGTTTGACACCCCTGCTCTACACCTATGTCCCAGAACAATGTAGAGTGTTCTGGAATGCAGGGAAAAGCAATCAAGCCTGCAGCCTGTGAAATACAGAAAAGACCAAAATAATCACATGCAGCTTACCTGATTACAGTGGAACTAAATGTACCTAGCCTATCACCTATCTAGTAGGGTGCTACATGTGTATTTGTTGAATTACATCAATGTGACTTTTCAGTTTAAATGTTTAAATTATCTACTAGAGACGTAAACTTATTGGGACACCCCTCTAAATCATTGGATTCAGGTGTTCCAATCACATCCATGGCCACAGGTGTATAAAAATAAAGCACCTAGACATGCAGACTGCTTCTACAAACATTTGTGAAAGAATGGGTCGCTCTCAGGAGCTCAGTGAATTCAAGCATGGTACTGTGCCACCTGTGCAATAAGTCCATCCGTGAAATGTCCTTGCTACTAAATATTCTACGGTCAACTGTTAGGTATTGCAACAAAATTGAAGCAGCTGGGTACAACAGCAAATCAGCCACGAAATGGTAGACAATGTAAAAAAATTACAGAGCGGGGTCAGCGCATGCTTAAGCACACAGTGCACAGAAGTCACCAACTGTCTGCAGAGTCAGTAACTAAAGAGCTCCAAACTTTGCGTGGCCTTCAGATCAGCACAACAACAGTGCATAGAGAGATTCATGGCATGGGTTTCCATGGCCCAGCAGCCAAGTGCAATGCAAAACGTAGGATGCAGTGGTGTACCGCACGCCGCCACAGGACTCTACAGCAGTGGATACATGTTCTCTGGAGTGACTAATCATGCTTCTCTGACAATTCGATGGACGTGTCTAGGTTTGGCGATTGCCAGGAGAAAGGTAGCAAGGTCTATAAAGACATGGAAGAGCGAGTTTGGGGTGGAGGAAGTTGACTGGCCTGATCTCAACCCGATAGAACACCTATGAGATGTATTAGAGAAGAGACCGCGAGCCAGGCCTTCTCATTCGACATCAGTGCCTTACCTCACAAATGGGCTTCTGGAAGAATGGTTAAACATTCCCATAGACACACTCCTAAACCTTGTGGACGGCCTTCCCAGAAGAGTTGAAGCTGTTATAGCTGCAAAGGGTGGACCAACTCAATGTTGAACCCTACAGACTAAGACTGGAGTGCCATTAAAGTTCATGTGTGTGCAAAGGCCCAATACTTTTGTCCCAATACTTTCCACAATATAGTGTATATTTAAATCAGATATATCAGTTTACCAGACTGGATGTTTTCCCACAAAATGGTCACATAGTCATCGCGGTCAGATCGGGATTGCTCATGATGTAATCCCAAAGCATGGAGGAACTCATGCTGAACTATTTCTACCAAATCACATCCTAATCCAATAGAAAGCAATTGTTTTCCCCATTGCTGGTTTCCAACATATGAATAGCATCTAAAATAGAAAATAGTGTTAACACTACTGACTTGGTTTACTGAAAATTCATAAGAAAAGCATTTCAACTCCTATTAGGTGTTCAGGAATGATACTTAAAGTGCATATAAACCCAATCACATACATTTTAACATGTTAATGTAATCTCAGAAGGCATTTGTAAAAAGTTTAGATGAGCATTATTAATTAAAATATTACAATGGGATCCTGCCCTAAGGGTCTTTGTGCAGCCACTTCCTGTTATAGGGTGACAACACTGTCCCTATCTCCAAATTAAACCAAAGAATAACCTTCTGCACTTGAGTGTGACTTGATGAACTCTCCACTTGACTGGCTTACATATGTAGCACAAAGTGTCTTGTTGCCCCCTCAGGACTATAGGTATCCTCACATATGCTGGAAAACAACAACAAAGACACCTAGTGCATTACCATAACACAATTTTATTAGATATATTTAACCAATGATATATTCACAAAAGTATGACATGCACAAACATATCAAGAAATGCAAATGAGACCACCTCCAGGTCCACGGTGCTCAACTGGTGACATGGGAAGACCTTACAGTGTCCACAGCACCTTACGTGTTTCAAGGGTCAAGCCCTGATTCTGTGGAAGAGGGCTTGACCCTCGAAATGCACAAGCCACTTTAGACACTATGAGGTTTTCCCATGTCATCAGATGAGCACCATGGACCTGGAGGTGGTCTCATTTGCATTTGTTGAAACTCTTGTGCATGTCATGTTTTTGTGAGTATATCACTTGTTACATACTGTATATCTGATAAAATTGTGTTATGGTAATGCCTTAGGTCATGTACCCTCTCTTTGTTGTTGTTTTCCTATCTCCAAATTATGCTACTGCAGTTCCATCATGTTACATGGTCTTCTGAGGGAAACCTTAAGAGGTTATTATAAAAAATGTCATACAGGCATTTTCCACTGTTGTTACCATCATGCCCTGAGAAATGCCATTGCTATGTGTAAACAGGAAATAGCTGTAAGATGAAAAGAAGGTGAAAACTAATATTTTATTTAAAAAAAAACAATTATGTAAAAAAAATAGCTGTTTAACATACCCGGGTTTTAGTAAGTAAAATGTAATTTAGCTAGGGTTTACATCTACTTTAAGATCATATGATTGAACATTTCCAGAAAATTTGTTTTTGTACAGAAAACAGTAATACCACTACAAATATACTATTTATTTTAAGCAAATTTTGTTATAACAGATCCCTGTTATAAGTGAGAGATACGTCATGGCATTGAGACATTCACTGTGTAAATAACTCGAGCTAGTGAACTGTATAAATAAAAGACCTTTTTCTTCAAAGGAACTAGTAAACAGGTAAAGGAGCTGAGAGTTCTATTTTTTGCCTAAACAACAGAATGCAATATATTGTGCAATATTTTATATTTACCTGTTTAATTAAAAAGAAATATCCAAATGTGTAGCTCTTATTGAATTAAGCAAGAAATTCAGGTTGCCACTTCCTCAGTTACAAGAACTTATAAATCCATTGTGGTCAGGAAAACAGCAGAGCACCTGAAGGGCTCATGCACATGTAGTAGCTCACTAATTCAGTCTCCCTGTCACATTTATCAGTTTTGGAGTGTCTCAATCCCCATGCTCATTTTTGGGTACTCTCTTGCTCTCCACATGAATAGCAGTGCCATTTTAAAATCAGCTTCAGACTTTATATTCATCCTAGAACTGGAAACGTTTATCAAAGGGAAGCCTTTCTACAACATTAGCACATACTTGTGCTGAAGCTGCTCACAGGTACAAATACATTCTGCCTTGTTTGTTTTTTACAAGAACAATGTAGCGCGTCCACAGCCCAGCTAGTTTATACTTGTTCCGTTGCTACATTGCTTTTGCATCCACAACACAGCCAAGCACCAAGTTGTGAGGACTGCTCTTGGAAGACCCTTCAGCTTCAGGAGTGTGTGAACCACAGCCACCACATCGGTGAAAGGGGGTCCCTCACTCCAAGACAACTGATGTTTCTCAGGACTGCTGCACAGGAACTGGGTTGGAGGGTCACTGATTCATTGCTGCAAGCTACCATTAGTTCTTTTTGCCAGCAGGGCCTGTCTAGGCTATGAACATCAATCAACATTGACCTTTGTCAGCGCTAAACATCCTGTTGACCTTCATTGACACAAGCTGTTTTTTTTCTCTTCTTTATTGTGGATAATGCCCACAGATTGCTTAGGTGATCCAACCTTTTGTTCCTGCTTGGCAAACTTTTTTCTCCATAGTTCCATTCATTTCAGCCTAGGCCACAAAAAAGGGGGTGCTTTTGATGCTCAAGTTCAACTTCACCTTTAATAGTGAACTGTGCCAACAACTTTGCCTTTTAAACTGAACTGTCCCTTTGGTCTCATTTCTTAAAGAGATAGCACCTGGCATTGAGTGTCAACGTGAAGGGTCCCAACTAAGCCAACGGAAGCCTCAATCTTCAGACTATTTCATCCCTGGTGTCAGCAGGGATGAGGCTCCAATTAGGGTCAGAGAAGAGCAGAGGACCAAAATTTATCAGTGGCTTATTCGGGGGAGGCAAACTATTTTTGGACTTGTTGTTCATTAGGTGCTATTTGGGAGTTTCCCATTGCTTAGAGAATATTGCAGCTGCTTTGATTATTTCAGTATTATTATATGTGTCTCTAAGCTCTGCATCTGTATATATTCACAAACTCCAGCCTTCTTTTCGGTCTTGCACATTTGTAGAGGATCCTCTCCTGTGCTGAAATTGCTTACTCTGATTTCACTGCACACCGTTAGCTTCTCAGAGGGTGTTTTAGAAGCTACAGCAAGGCATTCAGTGAAAGACACAGCTGGCTTCTTACAGTCAAGATAGCAGAGGAGGAGATCCGAAGACCAGCAAAGTACTAGCTTTGGTGAAGACAGCACTGAACTCTTGGGTCTGTTTCTTAAAAGTTTTAATATTTCTAACAGTGACTGTAATTCTTCTTTAACAGCTTGCCACCCACCCACGGTGGCTTGATCCTGTGACTGCTGTATCTTGTGGACACAGTGGATTATGGCACTTAGTACCCAGCCGCTGTGAGCGGTTAGGGTATCATGTGATTGCTATGACCAATTATATTGATTGTATGATTACATGTAAGCAAAAACTGTCACAAATGGCTTTCATTCATGACATTTTGCTTACTATTTTGATGCTGTGATTGGTCCTGTGTGTGCACCTGGGCCAATCACAGCACCCTGTACCATGTGATATCTTGTGACTAATCACAACATCACAATAGTAAATACTAAGCCATTCATGACAGTTCAAATCATTGCTTATAACAGTGATCATCGCTGTTATAAGCAATCACAGTGTAAAAAAAAAAAAAATCCCTGATCACCCAACCACAGTAGTACAGAGCGCTGGTAATTTTGACTTCAAATTTAAATTTAGTTTGTAGTCATTTGACTAAAATGCCATTTTAGTTTTAGTTGTATTTTAGTCATCTGAATTATTATAGATTTAGTCGTATTTTAGTTGACTAAAATCTCCAGTAGATTATAGTCGACTAAAACCTCCAGTATCATTAACAAACAAAAATATTGCTTTTTGGCAAACAGAAGTGCAAAAAAAAAAAAAAAAAACTGTAAACCCTGTAATGCGATTGCACATACTACCTGAATATACAAGCTTTAACAGTTCTCTGTCAATATTGAAAACAAGTATCAAGTAACATCTTTAAATAAAAGTTTCATAAACAAACAAAAATTTTGCTTTTGGACCACTGTTAATTTTGATGTCATATTTTGATTTAGTTTTAGTCATAGTGTTTTGACTAAATGCCATTTTAGTTTTAGTCGTATTTTAGTCATCTGAATTGAAACTGAAGTTTATTTTCATTTTTTTTTGTCACAGAAAACATGCAGCTGATGAAAACTATGAGAAAAATATTTGCATCTATGAAATTAACACTGGCACAGTGTCATGATGGTGACACTGAACCAGGGGCGGACTGACAATGGGGCCCCCGGGCAATAGGGGATTATGGGGCCCCTGTGTCCTTGGCCAAACTCAAAAAAGCCTATGAAAAAGGTACCAGGGGCATCTCATGCGGCCCCCTACTGACCTCGGGCCCTCGGGCAGTGCCCGAGTTTCCAAATGGTCAGTCCGCCCCTGCACTGAACTACTCTGATGACAGTATGTAAAAAAAAATTTAAAATATTTTGGAAAAAGAACATACTGACACTAGTCAGTGTCCCTGATCACCACCATACCAGTAATATGATGATGCTGTACTGCACTGGTGACAGCATGTAAAAAAAATAGTGAAAAAAAAAATGTTATTTAATTTTTTTTATTTTTCACATACCTTGGACTGTCTACTTTCCAAAAAGGGGTCACTTGGGAGACATTTGTACTGTCCGGGCATTTTAGGGCCTAAAGAACTGAGATAGGCCATCAATAAATCAGGATTGATCAATTTTCAAATATATACACCAGGGGTCCTCAAACTATGGCCCACCAAAGACGTTTATCCAGCCCAATGGGCCAGCCGCAAAATGTTTTTAAAAAATTTGGGAAAAAACGGCTCTGGCGGGCAAATAGCTAAGCTGCTCGCTGGATCCTTGGCCACGATGACCCAGTGAGCAGCAGCCTGGGAGCCCTGGATTTCACCTGCTGCAGCCAAAGGAGCAACAGGAGAGAATGAGAGCACACCAGGCACCGGGTACAGTGGGTTGCGGTGTCCGTGCGTTACAGTGTACAGTGCATTGTGGTGCCCAGTGCTAGTTAAAGTAGCACAGCACTGAATAGCAAAAAAAACAATAATAACACTGCATAGAAATTCAACAGGTTCTATCCCTTGCAACACTAGTGCTTCTCACACAGCTCATTTGTGCACTGTCCTGGGTGAAATGATGTCATGATTGCACAGAA